TCTATAGAGAAGTTTTTCTTAAACTTAATTCTAGCATTTTATATGTTTGATCTTAATTTCGTAAGCTAGATTTCATATTGAGTTTAATTATTTTTATTAAATCTCTTTGTTCACACACAAGCATTGAGCTTATTGTATATATATTCATAGTATAATTTGGGTTATGGGTTTGTAACTTAGAGTGTGAGCTTACATTAAGTTCTCGTCTATTGTAGAGAACAAATCATTATTGTATTTGAGCCATTTTTGTGAGGATTCACTTTGTAATACACTAGTACACCAAGAGGAGTGTGTGGTGAGAGATGAGGTCGTCCCAAGAGGAGTGGGGTAGGTGGTAATGCCTAGAGGTAAGTTATAATTCCTAACACTTGAGGGAGACACAGGTTAGAAACCAACACTTGATGTGGTAGTTAGTGTAGTTACATTGTGAGATTATGAACGTTGATCGGTGAGTGTTGAAAACCGATATTGTGTGGTGTAAATATTTTCGGGTGATCGTTGAAAATCCGGTGTGATAGTGGATTTCTCTCCGAGAGTAGGGATCGGAGATGTAGGACGGAATGTCTGAACTCCGTGATCATATTGTGTGTTTGCATTGTTTATTTGCGCACTATCACTCTTATTTGTTTAGTAGTTTATTTCACCCTTGTGTTATTTATATATCCTTGCACATATATTTGTAATATCTCATTTGCTAGGATATATTTGTTAATAATTTTTAATTTGGTATAAAATCAGATTAGATTAGCATAAACCCTATTTACTCCCCCTCTAGGGTTCTTTCCTAGTGGCATTATGATGCTTTCACCTACACGGCTGCAAATATTCATTATGAACTTTTTGACCTCTCAATAAGTATTTACCAATAGGGAGAGAGTAGTAGGCATGTATGCTTATTTATATACGTAACACATGATTATACACACACAATACTAAATGTGTGATTCTAAAATAAATTTGTTTTGCTGTTAGAATGGAGATGATGTCATTGGGAGCACGAACTGTAGGGATGGAGCCGCCAGTAACACGGATGATGATATGCATAGGGGTGGATGACCTGAATTAGTGAGTTTTTATATTTTTGTATCTTGGACATCCTTATATAGGAGATTATGAGATGTTTGTATACTTTATATCCTAAACTCTTCTTTGTGGAAATTGAGATGTTTATGGTATGGTTGTGGAGATTTTACGGACTTTAGCTTGTTTATTAATGATATTGCATGATTCGGATGACCTCAAGTAATGACTTTTATCTTTATCTATCTTGAAAATCTTTGTACGTGAGATTATGTCTTATTTGTATACTTTTATCATATTGTTTGTACTATTTTATATTCTAGAGTTTTGTCTGTATAGCTTGTTAAATGATTGTCTAGATTTTGTGAACTTTTGGCTTATTTTTGGATTGTAGAAATATCGAATGTATTGTGTATGTACACTTGGATGTATGCAAGATATTAATTATAGATATGTGCAAGGGATTTTGAATTTTATGATGTTATTGATAATATGTACATAAGAGATTTAATTGACATCAATTTTTTGACTGATTATTTACATCCTTGACAGGTGGCTGTCAAGGATGATCATCCCTGATGGTGCCACCTGTCAAGGATGATCATCCCTGGCGGCATCGCCATCAGGGATGATTGAACAACACTGACGACAATCGCCGTCAGGAATGTTGCCGTCAATAATATCTATTACTAACGGCTGCCCGTCAAGGATGTAACATCCCTGATGGGACTTTTGCTGAAGGCATATATATCCTTAACGAGAAGCCATCAAGGATATGCATTCCTAACAAAATTAGTGACATCATTGATAGCTTCCCCGTCAAGGATGCACATAATTCTAATAATATATAATTAGACTGTTCAAAGGTATCAACTGAATTAATTATATATTGGCTTTTTTAAATTAGCAAGTTGATCGACTTTTGCGAGTAAATTCACTGCAAAATGGCATGAGACTACAACTCGTCCTCTAGGATAACCTAGGGGTTGAAAAGCTTATTGTACGTGCTAAATACAATTACAATACCTACGAAAGTGAGTTAGGATTTTTCTTTCTTTCCTTTTTATTTTCTTTCTTTACTAGAGGACTAGCAAAAGTTTAGGTGTGGGGGTATTTGATCATCATATTTTATTATATTTTTTACCGTCGTTATCTATTTTATTTGAATAAATATATTACTAATAATATGTTTTTCTCTTAAATTACGGGAAATAAAGAACTAATGAATAAGAGCCTAAAAAGAACTCAAACTCCCTCATTTTTAACATTTTATCGAAGCTAAAGATCAAGCCAAACAACCTATAAAAGTCCAAAAAATAAAGATTTAATAAGAAAAGAAATCAAGACAAAATCATGTTCAGGATGATCAACAGCAAAGAAATGGCATTATCTCTCAAATTGAAAAGCAAAATTTGACATATAATATTTGAATGTCAACTATCTCAATAATATGGAGCTATCTGAAGTGACAAATTTTGGATACGCCAATCAGTTAACCAACCGATTGGCCATTCAATTGGCGAATAGATTGGTTAATTGATTGATTCGCAACTGAATAGTAAACGGTTGAGATTTATTTTTTTGGAGCTCAAGGCTAATCTAAGGTCTTTTATTGATTGTTGTAGGCTATAAATTGAGGTAGAGAGTAAGTGGTTTGAGTGTGAATATTTTTTATGAACTCCTTTTCAGAGAGGAGGGCCTTTAATTAGGTCTTCCAATTTGTAAAATTTTTAAGTTTGCAATAAATAAAAATTTCCTCCTTTTTTAATTTTATTTATTCTTCTTTGTTGATGAAGATGAAGATTTATTTTTAAGGGGCCAACCTCTTGGTAAGTTTTCATTTTTCTTCTCTTATTTTTTTTTATTTTAGAAATTTATGTTTTAGGATTTTATTTTCTTCTTATGTTGGTAGATTAGATTTATTTCATACTTTATAATGTAGATTTACTTTTATGCTCTTTTATTTTTTTATTTTTTTTATATATTTTATAGAATTTATTTTCTTCCAATTTTCTTTCATAGTATATGTTTAATTTTATGATCTTTTATTTTTGTTAGTTAGATTTCCTTTACACTTATAGCTTAGATCTTTATTTCCTTATTCTTATTTTTGTATTTAGTTTTTATTTTTGATCTTCTTATTTTATGCTTCGAGTGTAGATTTTTTTATTTTTATTTTCCAAAATGTGCAACTAAATATTGTAGGAACTCTAGAATTGTATGAAACTAGTTTGATTTTTTTATGATTTGTGGATTGCTCTCTTGTGCTCAAAATGATCATGCTTAGGATAATTAACTAGAGAATTAACTGATAGAAGAATTATTTGATAATCTATACTTATTTTAAGTGGTTTGATAGGTTATGCTTATGAATTCTAGAATTACTATCTAATTGTTATCTTTTTCATGAATGGTAATTTTACTTGGATGACTATTTGATAGGTCATACTTTCATTAAGTGGTTTGATAGTCTATATTTAATAAACATAAAGTAAAATGTGATAAAAAAAGAGTAGTTCATAAATACAAAATGAAACTAGCTAGTGGATTCAATTCTAGATTCCTATTTTCTCTCTTGATTTCCTTCATATTTTACTTATTTTTGTTTTCCCTCTTTTTAGTTAATTTTTTTAGTTTTGATTTTATTCTTTTGTATTTTCTTTATTTCTCGTCATTGTTATTCTTTATTTTCTTTTATTTGTCCACTCTCTTTCTTCCCTCTTATTTTAATTTTCTTTTATGAGTAAAATAATCACACACTCTTTATATCTCTTTTCTTCCACTCTTATTTGTCCACACACAACTCTAGGATCCAAGTTAGAATTTTTCCTACGCACCTTCCTCATGTGTTCGACATTGTTGTATTCTATAACTTGATTGTGCACTTGTAATCTCAATATTATTTTCACAACACATCAGTACGATATGATGTGATATGCTCTCGTTTTAGTTTCTGTTAAGCAATATGTAAGCTTCTTATTTATCATCCTAAAGTATATCCTCCTAAAATATATCCTTTTTGTGTAAATATTATCCTATTGGAGAAAGAACACTCATGTTTGCCTTCATCCATGATAAAATTAGACTTAAATATCTTTCAATTTTTTTAACAGAGAAATCAAATAATAGGATCCAACTGATCATCCATGAGTAATATGGTCTATCATCCATCATTTGTTTATTTGCACTCTTCACTTAAAAAAAGAAAGAAAAACAGAAACATATATACTGAATCTGGGTTTTTAGAAGGTTAAAATTCACTAAGGGGGTGTTTGTTTCAAATCCTATAATTTTAGGATATGGATTTCACCATGGGATTTGAAATCCATAGGTAATTTGTTGTGGGTTAGGATTCCTAAAACTTTGTTTGTTTCAAAAATATTTTGGAATTTGGAATACTATAATTTGTAATATTTTTGTTTGTTTCAAACTTTTTGGAATTTGAAATCTTTAATTTGTCTAACTCTTTTAAAAGAAAAATTCTTTAAGGACCCAAAATATGAGACCAATAGGGGGACAAGTGAGGTGTCCCCCTCCTATTGAATAATGAGTTGGCCATCATTAATGATGGCCAACTCATTATTCAATAGAAGGGGGACACCTCACTTGTTCCTTTTATTGGTCCCATATTTTGGGTCCCTGTAGCAAAGCTCCTTTTAAAATCCACCCCACATCCCACCCAAAAAAGAGGATTTCACAAATTCTTAAATATAATACTTTTTTATTATTTGGGGATTTGATATTCTAAAAAGAGGATTTCACAAATTCTTAAATATAATACTTTTTTATTATTTGGGGATTTGATATTCTAAAATTTGTTTTGAAACAAACAAGTTTTTTTTTATTATTTGGGGATTTGATATTCTAAAATTTGTTTTGAAACAAACAAGTTTTATGGAATTCTAACACCCAAAAAAACCCACTTTTTAATCCTAGAATTTGAAATCCCCTGACATTATCTTTTTTACCCCCGAAGAATATACGAAAACCCAAAACCCGCATCCAAATCCCAATCCCGTGAGGGTTCAATCCCAATCCAAATTCAAATCCAAATCCAAATCCCTTTCTCTTCCCCTCCTCTTCCTTTTCTTCACGAAAAATGGCGAACCCCATCATCACCATGAGGTCCTCCAGCTCGCACCACAACTCTCCAATGGCGGCCGCGTCATCTCCCGGATGCCTTCGTTCTCCCTCCTTTAAAGCCTCCAAGAAGAATATAGCAATGGTGATAAGAGGAGCTCTAACTGTGGAGCAGGAGGAGAAGACCAAGGTGTCTATCTTGAGAATTGGGACAAGGGGAAGGTTAGCTTTGTTTTGCCCCACGGCGAAATGTTTGAGATTTTGTTGGGAATTTGGTGACAATTTCAGAGATTTTTGTCTTTTGGCTTTAGAATATAAGCTTACAGAATTCTTTTTGATCATTTCTGTCTGTTCTTAGTCCTGTTGGGTTTTCCCCTTGCTTCTATACGCTGAAGTTGGTCTAATTGGGTTTTGAGCATGGCTTTAATGACGCTTTGGTTATCCCGTTTTGAAAAAGTTTGAGTTTTTGGTTGAAACTTGTTCTTAGTTTTGATGGGTTTCCATTAATTATGCAGGTTTTGCCATAAATTTTGCTCGCTATCTGGTGCTTGATAATCTTTTAATTTTGGCAGGTTTTTGTTTGTCGGGTCTTTCCCATATGAGAAGAGTTGAAAGCCCTCTAATTGCTTGAAATTTGAGTTACTTTAGGATTATTGTTATTGAATGCTGCCGCTTATAGTTGAATTTTGCTTTTATCTAGAAGTTTTACTCCCATCATAATGTAGCTTATTTAATTTTAAATCCTGTTGTATGTAGCTGGTTGACCAACATTTGAGCCTCATGAGATGTGCACGGGGGTTCGCAAATTTTAATTTGATGATTATTCTTTAGTGTTTTGTCTATTTGTTTGAAACCTTTGCATAAAATTTTGATAATAATATTTCTGATATTTATGTAGGACAGTCCATTAGCACTTGCCCAGGCCCATGAGACCCGGACTAAACTCATTGCGACACATTCAGAGCTAGCCGAAGAAGGAGCAATTGAAATCATAATAATAAAAACCACTGGTGATAAAATACTCAACCAACCCTTAGCTGATATAGGCGGCAAAGGTTTATTCACAAAGGAGATAGATGAGGCTCTCTTGGACGGTAGAATTGATATTGCAGTACATTCGATGAAAGATGTGCCCACTTATTTTCCTGATGGGATGATATTGCCTTGTAATCTTCCGCGTGAGGATGTTCGCGATGCATTTGTCTCTTTGACTGCAAAATCACTTGCTGAGCTTCCAGCTGGAAGTGTTGTGGGCAGTGCTTCATTGAGGAGGCAGTCTCAAATACTCTATAGATATCCATCACTCAAAGTAAGTATCCATCTGATCTACATGAATGTATTCGTCAATGACGATTCATGTGGTTCTCATTGTTCTATCCAACATAGTTTTTCTCATTTATGAGCCTTTTAGTTTATTGATTGTGGATATACATATGTTTACCTCTATTTTTTTAAATTCCTCTGCAATTTAATTTGAAGCTCTTTCAATCCTGTGCATAACTATAAGTACCTATTTCATGCTATTGCTGTTCTTTGATGTCAAATGGTACTTTTCTCTTTATTGTTTTGTTCAGTTTTGGGAAAGAAGAAAGTGCGGGGTTTGGTGAGTCATATTTTTGGCTTTGGCAGCTAATCAGTTTTTAAATTTTGGAATCAGAATGTTTCTCCTTAACATTAGGGATGATTCATCATCAGTCATAGTGTTGTTTTCAGTTTATTGTTTCATCACCATCATTATGTTCATTTTTAATATGTAGTATGTCAAGAGTATAAAATTATAATAGTCACCACAACTTAGAAGTTTTGATCTAGTGGAAAGACCAGCATGGTCCTTTGACATGGTATCAGAGCCATCCAGATTAGGATCTTACTGGCCACAAATTTTTGCAATAGGTTTTAAGAAGAAAGATACCGCTCTGTGAATCCAGGTTTCAGACCCGTGAAAGGACCCTCAACCAGCTAGGGCATGTTAGAGGGTAGAATTGTAACCCTCAACCCTCACCACAACATCAGCATTTACCTGGTAGAGGATCTTTGACACAATGAAAGGTAGGAAACATCAGCTGTATACTGCAAGGTAATATGCCTGAAGAAAAAAAGGAACACTCAACACTTTTTGTTTGTTAAATGAATCTACAAGTTGTCTACAAATCGATATTTTCTGTATACACTTATGTCATGTAGGATGTATCACAAACTTTCATAATACTTTTATAAATGACTGCATTTTCCTGAACACTATCATCTCTTATCTTTTCATGTAGAACTTTTTGTGCAATCTAGAGAACTTTGGAGGTCTAGTATTTTCACTGGTTTTTATATTTCGTTTTTCATGAAAGGCTTGATTTACAATGTTGACCTCCCAGAGCAAGCTTATATTATAGGAATACTTTCTTGCGAACGCTTCTATTTTCCAAAATTCCCTTTAGTTTATAGCCTCAAGATATGGGCATAAAGTTTTGAGCTCTATCTTTGTTTGGGAACTGAGATGCTTCAGCAGATGTGAATGTAAAGATAATCGCATGCTCTGTGTCAGCAGGTGCTGCATAAATATAGTGCTTCTATTTTCCACGATGAAGCAGGTAGCAGACACTGGAATTAATGGTGCGTTAAGTGGAACATGCTTAGTTCCTTTGTGATTTTTGGTATGTGTGCTCATATGTATTACGTGCCTTGAAGTAAACAGTTTCTATCTAAATAGTATTGTTTTTAGACCCTGATTCCATTAGAACAAAAAATTGTCCACTTACAGTGCCTATGTTCTCTAGAATAAACAGATCAATAATTTGTGAACTTTTCATATGGTTGATGAAGCTGAAGCTTCACTACAAGTATAGACTTTCGGCAAGTTTCTGACATTGAATAAGTCTCTGGTTTACAGCTCACAGTTTAATGGGAGGTACTCCATACACAGTTTAGCTCTTACAGGAGTTGTTGAGCGGGTGAGGTCTAGTTTATACTCATACACTCCTGGGGTTATGATAATTAACAGCAGTATCATCTTTACATGTATTTATATATCGATATTAGAAAATGGTTCATGCCAGAATACTTATACAAACATCATTAAAGGATGCGTATACAGTTCTATATAGGTTTTTCCCTAATACTCGTAGAATTGGAGCCTTATTGTTTGAATATGTAGCATAGTTGATCTTAAGGTGGTTACTATTACCTATATCGAGAATAAAACACGAGAGGTCTCCCACAAATAATGCTGTCCAAAAGATAGTGCTATACTTAAGCCCTTATTTTTGCGTATCAAAAATTTCATCCACTTAAACGCCACTTTCCAAATATTATTATATATCCTTCTTAAAATAGCTCGGTTACTGAGTGTATGGCTCAGTCAAATTATATTTGCTTGGATCATTTCAAGCTTAGAGATGTAAATGGTGAACGCTTAATACCTGTTGCATGTATGCGTAGTTGGATGATCAAGAATCCGATTATCTATGAACCTTTTAGCTCCATAGCCCTCATAGTTGGAATTCTGGTGTTCTAAACCTCATTGACGTGTCTTCTAATGAGCTTCGCAGTTTTTCGAGTTGTCTCGACTCGCCTGCATTCTGTGTTCAATTCTGCGATCAAGTTGGCTCTTGATTCCATTGTTCTTTGTTCTATAGGTAATTCCGAAGCCATCTGTCTTATTCAAATGAAGACCAGCGTACAATTGGGTTCATACAAGATGTCTCGAATGAGGCATAGTGCTTGATAATCATAGAAAAAGGATTTTGTATATAGGAACTGGGAGAAGCACAACGTGGGCTCAACCTGGCTCAATCTGGCTTGGTCTGGTTCAGCCTGCGTATGGTCTGGTTCAGCAGATCTGGTTCAAGCTATAAAAGGGTTTTTTCTTTTTTTTTCTTATTTCTTTTTCTTCCCTCTTTCGTTTAGGGCGGCCAGGGCCCCTCCCTCTCTCTCTTGATTATTCTCTTCCCTTCGCAGCATCCATTCTCTTCAAACCTGATTATTTGTCTTAGATCTTAGCTTTCCTTTGATTCTTGGACTGAGGAATCTCCCAAAAACTCCAAATAGAAAATTCTCTCAGGCCCCTCGAGCGTGTGGTTCAATTTGCCTAAAGGTTCTCGTTTATGGATTTGGGCTCTTCTTCAGTGTAAATCCCTCCCCACTTGATCTATTTCATTTTTGATCTAGCGTATGGTAGTTCGCTAGTTTGAGCCTGTATAAGGGGGAGGGTGTGATTTGATGCCTCAACTCGCCTTTTTAGTGGTGTTGAAAATGAGAGATTTTTCCTCTTTCTGTATCTGATCTCCTCAGATTTACCTTGCAAGCGTCTCGATGTCCCGTATGGCCGAGTGGGTCAATCCTCTTGCCCGCGCCGACTGATGGCGCGCTCCCTCTTACGCCGGTGAGCTACTTTTTTCTGGATAATTACAAAAAAAAAAAAAAAAAAAAAAAAAAAACAAAAAAGAAAAAAAAAAAAAAAAAAAAAAAAAAAAAAAAAAAAAAAAAAAAAAAAAAAAAAA